CCCCAAAACCCCAAAACCCCAAAACCCCAAAACCCCAAAACCCCTTTAGTTAGGATTTCCGTTGAAAATTATACTAAACTTTATGACAATACAGAGATTCCTCTATCCATTCCTAAGGAGTAGCTACCAGCTTCACTTCTAGGAGACTGCATGGCTCTTCTGTACTTATGAATCAGAGGGAGAATTTCTGTGTTATTAAAGGGTCTCTTAGATTGTTGAGATCCGTGCGTGTTAGAAATAGATTTGCTCCTTCTCATCAAGGGATTACAAGTACCATGCGTTTCAGTCAAGCTTATCCCTGAGTCTCCCATCTCAGTGACAGTGGTAGAGTTCAGCCCATAGCTCACTTTAAAAATAGCATAATCTCCAGTACTGTCAGTATAGTTGGTGGAGTCCAGTGGCTTTACTGAATTACTAATCAGGGAAGATTTTCTAAAACGGTTCTTATCTTTTAAAGTTTTCTCTCTCCTCAAGACCAGGTCTTGAGGAAGCTTATGCTGGTTATACCCTTCCTGAGTGCCATGTAGCTTCACCTTCTGAGGTAACTTTGTCTTCTATAGTGTAATGTAAGATACGCTCTTAAAACTTATAAACTGCTACATTGTAGGATTCATCAAATTTTTGAGAAGTATAAAAGCATTACTTTTTGATTCATGAGCATCCTTTGATGATATCCTGAGCTGGCTGGTTTTGAAACTGTGTAAGAAGTCTCCTTCTCTCTGATACTTTTGAGACTAGGAAGGTTAGCCAAAGAAGTTACCTTAGATTGCCAATCTCTCCAAGATTTATGCGTCTGTGGTTAGTCTCTATACTGAATTAGGCCTTGTTTTTCAAACTGGGTTTTTGAAAAATCCTCATCAAAAATTTAGAAATTCATAAATTTTTAGTATAAAATCCTATTGTCAAGCAATCTGGGTTTATCGAGACTTGACTATTTTAGTAGTTTTTTTCGTCTCTTGGTAAGCAATATGGCTTATTTGTCCAATCATAGCATATCTCTAAGCCAATAGAGCTACCTTTAAAAGAATAGACCTTAAATTTATCAAAAAAGTGGTTAGCGATATTCGCTATTAAGTGGATCTATTATTTAACTTTTAGTACAAAATGAAATAATAAACTTTTTGCAATTTTATAGCAAAATGTCTTACTTCTTGCTGGCATAATTTCCTTTGCACGCACTTTCATCTTCAAATTGGCTGCTATATAAAAGATCAGCTCTGAAATTTTAAATTACAAGAGAGGGGTTGAAAGAAAGTGATAGTGATGATCTCCAAATACCTTTTGCAGACTTGCCAGTGATATCAGGGGTCAAGGAAACATCATTACGCCCATAATCATTCATGCTCTCTTCGTGTCTGCTCAGAGTATCTTCAAAAATCCTCCTCCTGTTATGATTGACTTTAATGCTGCCCAAACTTTTATTCCTATGGGCATGAAGACTTTGTGAAAATTTTCTTTCAGAGACATTCTGAAAATACAAAGGCTTCGGATTCTTCTTAATAGGCTTGAAACTCTTTAAGGCAACTCCGACATGCCCATCTTTATCAATTTTGGAGATCTTGCCTTTAAATCTCTCTAAGAAGTTTGTGTTGCTATCCATTTTCTAAATTTAAGGATGTATTAAAAGTGATTTCAATATTATATTTCCCTTATGGGGTTTTGGGGTTTTGGGGTTTTGGGGTTTTGGGGTTTTGGGGTTTTGGGG